ATTACGTCTATTCGTCATATCAAGTTCCCACTCCAAAACAGCTGATTTCAACATCTCTGCTATGTTTAGTCCAGTATGTGATGAGGAAATGGGCCGTATTTGTAGAACAAAACTTTTCATTTGCTATTCGCTAGTCATTACATGAGCCGTGACTGTATTATAGCTTTGAGTAGCTTGTGAAGTCCACCCATCTGTGGTTATCGAGACACACTCTGCTTCTTTAAGCATGTCTTTCACCTTAACTTAACTGTCTGTTGGTGCAAAGCTGGTATCACTGTGCGACTAAAATGTGGCCGCGATGGTATAGTATACTTTGGCTCCCGCACATTTATTAAATTCCGAAATCCATCATTTTCAACCACAGAAAACGGCCTTGAATCTTTTGCTATGTACTCACTGATGCGTCTAGCAATTTCCTTGGCTCTCGGATTATTATGGGCAAGTTGGGCAAAAAAAGTTGTTTTTTTTGTGTCATTTAATAATAATAATAATAATAATAATAATAGTAATACATTTGATTTATACAGTATAGCGCTTTTACATGAACTCAGATGCTTACAGAGGAAGTACACAAAAACACATAACACATTATGCATTGGGAAGGTCAAATACCTTAGCAAAAAGAAAGGTTTTTAGCTTGGTTATAAAATTTGAATCAGAGTTCGATAAACGAATGGCAGTAGGGAGTGAGTTCCAAAGGCGGGGAGCTAAACGGGAGAATGCACGCTTACTATAGCTATGTAATTTGGAAGGGGGGATGAGGAGAGAGCCAGTAGAGGAAGATCTAAGACTGCGGGGAGGCTGGTAGGGTAGAAGCAAATCAGTAAGGTATGATGGGCCTTGGTTATTAAGAGCTTTGAATGTCAGAAGCAGCATTTTAAAGTGGATGCACTCTTTTATAGGGAGCCAGTGCAGGCTCTGCAGAATGGGTGTGATGTGTTGGTAGGAACAAGTGTTAGTAAGGAGGGGGGCAGCAGAGTTCTGAATTATCTGAAGTTTATGGAGAGATTTAGCGGAGATACCAGCGAGTAGTGAGTTGCAGTAGCTAGAGATAAAGGCATGAATGAGGGACTCGGCAGCAGAGTTTGAAAGGTATGGCCTGATACGGGCAATGTTACGGAGGTGAAAGTAAGCTGTTTTTACTATGGCACGAAGGTGTGCGTCAAATGAGAGGGTTTGGTCAAAGGTGACACCAAGGTTTTGGAGATGGTAGTGTGGTCCAATTTGAGGGTTATTGAGTGTGGATTTTGTCCCAAAGACAATTAGTTCAGTCTTATCACGATTGAGTTTTAGAAAATTATGGCTCATCCATAATTTGATTTCACAGAGACAGGTTTCTATATGTGCAAGTGGGCGGGTGTTTATGGAGCTGGAACTAACATAGATCTGGGTGTCATCGACGTAAACATGGAAATTTAGGTTAAAGCAGCGAATGATCTGGCCTAGAGGGTGAATGTAAATGATGAAGAGCAGTGGCCCCAGGACAGAGCCCTGGGGAACGCCACGTGTGATAGCTGATGTGTCTGAAGTTTGACCGGATAGGGTAATGAAATGTTTTCTGTCTGTGAGATGGGAAATAAACCAGTTAAGCGCTGCCCCACAAATTCCTAGATTGTGGAGTCTCTGGATAAGAATGGCGTGTCAGACCGTATCCAAGGCTGCACTTAAATCGAGCAAAAGAAGGTGGCTTATGGCACCAGTATCAGTTGCAACTAATAGATCATTTAGAACTTTAACTAAAGCGGTTTCTGTGCTGTGGAATTCGTGGAAACCGGACTGAAGTGGTTCAAAGAGGCTATTGTTTTGCAAAAAGGAAAGGAGCTGAGAGTAGATTTGGTTATTTGGTTTGGTTGCAGCCTTTTTCTCGCAGAAGGTTGTGATCGGAGCTTTTCTGGGTGGTGATATGCCAAATAGCTTCTCAAATTATATGTGTTTCCCGTAACGTAGCAGACCGTCGTTCGGCAATATTTGCAAATTGTGTTGTGTTTGTCAGTTTCCTTTTCACTCTTGTTATTTCTTTAAACGGGGAAACCAAAATGCTGCCACACAGCAACTTTAAAAGATGATGGAGCGTCCACCATCTGCAATATCGAAGCAGTGTATTCTGCCATTTTTCCACCGGCTCTGTTTTCACCACGTGAAATATAGGCCACGCCCATACATACTAACACGCTAAATCAGGGGTGCCCAATACGTCGATCACAATCTACCGGTCGATCGCAAAGGTAGTGTGGGTAGATCGCTTGGCATAAAAAATAGAGGATGGATAATAGCCTATCATCCATCTGCACTATGACATTTGTCACTTGATTGACATGCAGGGCAGCCAGTCTGACATCTGATCTTTTTTTGACACAAGGGTCACCACACCACGCAGGCGCATTCAACCGCGCCAACTGCTGCAAAAGTCTAGCAAACTACCAAGTCGCCTAGTTAGCCTCCTATTTGTTTCTACTGAACTTAAGAAAGGTATAAAAATGAATGGGGGAGCTCAAGTAAGAAGCCAAAAACCTACCACTTCCATACGGAATGGGAGGAAGACTTTTTTCACGTCATATTCAAAGTGCGTTTGCCTCATCTGTCAGTCTACCATTGCTATTCTGAAGTAGGGAAATGTGGAACGGCATTTTTGGACTGTTCATAAAAACTACGACATTAACTTCCCTCCGAAAAGCGAGCTGAGAAAGACAAAGGTGAAGGAACTAAAATCCCAGTTGTCTGGACACCAGTCATGCAGTACAATGTAGATTAAATTCAAATTCTATTCAAAAATACTTTATCACAAAGTGAAATTAATAATAATCATAATAAAGAATGCTCAATATATGTATAAATATATGTTTTGCATTCTTATAGTAGGTAGATCATTTTGACTTGGTCATTTATAAGTAGCTCGCAAACTGAAAAAATTTGGGCACCCCTGCGCTAAATAATGAGTGAAAACAGTGCACTGCCAATAGAGCACAAACCATTCGTAATGTAGTATGTATTTTTTGAGACGGAGCTTATACGAGCGAAATAACCACGTGATGTTGTGGTTGATATAACAGGCCAACAATGGTTTTGAGGTATTTTTTTATTGTGATATTACGTTTTTCGTTACATCCCTAGCAAAGACTGAATTAAATATAAACATAGAGGACAGTAAAGTCACTCAGTGGGTCACTCTGCTGCTGCTTTCCACCTGAAGGGTTCGGGGTTCAAATCCCTCCTCCACTCTGTCTCTGGAGTCTGCATGTTTCCCCTGTGCCATGTGTTCTCCTGCAGCCCAAAGACACACAATTAGGCTAACTGGCAACTCTAAACTGCCTGATATGTGTATGTGTGGGGGGCATGTATATATTACATTGTGGGGACCAAATGTCTCCCACAATCTGATAAAAACCTGTTATTTTGACCTTGTTGGGGACATTTTCTGAATTAAAAAGAAATCTATGAATGCATTGAAAAACCTAAAAATGCCAGAAGTCTTGTATTTTGTTTGTTACTTATGGTTAAGGTTAGGCCTAGGTAGGAGTCAAGGTCGTTATGGTTACGATTATGGTTATGCCCATAGAAATGAATGGGGAGTCCCCACAAAGACATAAATACCTAATCTGTCTGTGTGTGTGTTTATATGCTCTGTGGTGCACTGGCATGCTAGCAGAGTCTGCCCCAGCCTTGTGCACTATGCTGCATGGATTAAGCTTCAGGTGTCCCTGTGACACTGACCCAGTGGTTGAAAGATGGTTGCATGGGGCCCGTAGTTAATTTGTAGTTAACAAACCTTTCAGTTTGTTGCTTTGTTTTCAGTTTAATGTGTCATTGAAAATTGTTAAATTGTATAGTTGTTGACATAATAAGTCATTATTGTTTGCATCTGCTCTAATTGTGTTGGTTAAATAGTTTTGTGACTCATTTTTTTGCAGTTTGTTGAATTCCCTGTCACCATTTTTAAAAACAAATTGAGATTTGATCAGTCTCAGTTTTTGATTCATGTTTGAAATAGTGAACAGAGTGATTGCCTATTAATTTCTCATGCCTATTACAGAATGTAATAGAAATTTATTTTATTTAGAATTTGGTGATCAGTGGTCATTGTCAACACACTACAGCGCGCAACAATGAAATGTGTCCTCTGCATTTAACCCATATGTGACTTTTGTGACATAGCAGGGGGCAGCTAATTCAGCGCCCGGGGAGCAGTGCTTGGGGGTGGTACCTTGCTCAGGGTACCTCAGTGGTGCTTTGCTGGTCGGGGATTTGAACCTGCAATCTTTCAATTACAAGTGCACTTCCTTAACCATCAAGCCACCACTGCCCACAATAATAATAGGTTCTGTATGTAGGAGTGCTTGGTCTGAGAAAGCTCTTTTTATTAGGGGAGTAAACTAATAACATTTTAAATAGGTTCAAAAACTCATCTAGTCTTGCAGAAGAACATATTTCCTCTCTTTGCTTTGTAATGTTGTATTACATTACCTGGACAAAATAAAGTCACCATTTGAATTTAAATCAGCAAGTACTTAAGAGCCAATGATTGGATCATTATTAAAGCTCAGCGATGTTATGCAGCAATAAAGTGAAGTCAGCTGAGTACCTGAATCTACTGATTCAATGGATTTTGTCTTTCCTAAAAGCATGGGCATATTCCAGTACAATAATGTGAAGATCCACCGGGTTTTAATCGTCAAATAGTGGTTCAGGGAGCATGAGGAATCATATTCACACATGAATTGGCCAACACAGAGTCTTGACCTTAACCCCATTGAACGTCTTTGAGATGTGCTGAAGAAGACTGTACAGAGTGGTTCAACTCATCTATTATCAATACAAGGTCTCAACAAGATATTAATGCAAATCTGGATGGAAAAAAAATATTGAGATGCTGCATAAGCATGGGGAAACAATGCATTAACGAATGTGCACCATAATCAAAGCTAAAGGCGGTCCAATGAAATATTAAAGTGTGTGACTTTTTTTTTGGCCAGGCTGTGTATATTAATGGGGAAACTCAAAAATTATTTTTGTATACATCTTTAATACATCTTTAGATGTCATATTTGAAGCTCCACACACCCCACAAACATTATTAACCCAACATAAATAAAAAATACAAAACACATTCCTTCAATAATAGTAGGTGTTATGGAAATTTCCTGATGTACAATTCCTGGGGCATGGCAGGGTAAAACATTTATGAAACAGGATCTAAAGGAGAAAGCGAGTTAAACAGAATACAGTAGCACAGTGACTGTGCTGGAGGTGTATTGATTAAATGTGTCTTGTTCTAAATAAAGGTCCCCTAATAATCCCGCTATATGCAATCTCGTATGGCTAATGAAACAAATTCAAACAGCCAGGGCTTGTCGAGGCACCCTGGAACTCTTCCAATTTATGTGGATCTGAAAAAAATATTGGAACAATTACATCTAGACCACAGTTAGTTGTGAGGGCATAGTAGCTCATGCAAGGCTTCAAATTGCTGTCCTTCTGGTTTTCTTGTTGTTGTTGTTGCATACTGTGTAAGAGTAATTGGTTCATGGGAGTGTTTTTCTATAGGCTCTAACCAGATTGTGCTGGAATGTTGCATTTGCAATTTGAGGCAGTTTCAGACCATGGTTTTTGAAATCCAATGACAAGAGACCCTCCATGAAAAAACTGAGATGGATAGAGGAATTAGACTTTTGGTGAAATGACATACTCAAGGTATACGCTATTACTGTACGTCAAGCTTTTCGAAATAGTTTTTGACAAGCTGTAGCTGCAAGGATAAATCTTGCCCCAATCCAATGTAAATATTTTATTTCTCCTGACTTTTTATTAAAATACCTTAGTCTGATCCTGTGACTACACAAATATACAAAGATCTGGCACTAGGATCAGTAAACAAAGCCAAGGTACCTGTTTATTGTCTGATAATATCTGCTGTGTGTATGAGCATTAATGCATTGAAGTGCATAGCATGAGTATGTTTATAGACAGTTTTAGCAGTTGTCATTTTCCTGGTATGTTAATGCAAGTTCATTAAAGATTTATGGTCGAGATATAACTTTGCATAATACCTCTAATAAAATATGTAATATTTGCAGTTTACCAGATTGAGCTGAAGAGTTTCTGTGCTATGTGTGTTTGTTTAATGTCAGGATGGCATGGATGGCTAAGAATAGAATCTTTTAACATGTTTGTGAGCACATGGTGGGGAATAGGACAGCCTCTTCATGGGCCTTAGGTCACCACTGTTTCAGGCCCAATAGCCATCTCCTCCTCTCTCCCATCTGGCATTCGGCTATGGTAGCAAAGAAAGCTCTCTGCTGGGACCTCACACTCCTCAGCTTTCTCTCTCTTTGTTCCTGTGGAGTTTATCTACAAATTACCACAGAGCACTTAACAAATGAAGACAACAGTAAGACATAATACAGAACATAATAGAAGTAATATAAGAAGAGAGACTAAAGAAACCATCTATTATGGAGGAAAGAAAAATAGAAGCTTCTAACTGGGCCTTTTGTCAGAGAACATTCATCTTTCAGGCCTCACATATTTTAGAATAGGACTAATAATCGCAGCTCTCTAGGGCGATAGAGAATGAGTAAACCAGATTGTGGTACTCCGCAGTCAGGAAGTCTTTAATACACACACAGCTGGACAGAGGACGTAAAAATTGTAGGAACACACAGGAGGCAGTGAATTTAGAATATTTTGTAATCTGAGTAACACTTTAGTTTAAGGTCTGCTCATTAGCTGTTAATAAATTGTTACTAATCATTTCATAATTTATTAGCAAATATAAATATAAAGATTCACTTATAGCCAGATTTAGAGATATCTTTCTCCTATCTCACAAAGTATTTACTAATGAGCTTGCACAAACATGTAACTAATACAACACATTAGTAAGCATACTTAGAAATTAATTATACTTGAGCCTTAAGGGTCTGCTTATAAACAGTGAAGAAGCAGACCATAGTATTAGATATGTCTTTTTGCAAGAAGAAAATATCACCGTAACTGGTAGTATTGGTGAGAACGAGAGATTTAGGACTACTTGAGGCATGTGACCTGACACATTTGCAGCTTCTTACCTTGGTTTTTAAAATTTTTTTTTTAAACCATTTTTTCAGGTGTGGACTCCAACAGCGAGGTCAGCTCTGTGAGTCACATGGTCATGTCAGACAGCAGGGAGACCTCGCTGGCGCCGTCCACTGTACCGTCTGTGCCTCCAGGGGAGCCGGGGGATGAAGACCATTATGGTGACCAGAGCTCTGGCGAGTCTGTGGACAGCAGCTCATCGTTCGAGGAGCTGAACTTAGACCTACAAGAGGGGAAAGACCTTTCCATAGACCCTGAGGTCAAAATCCCCAGTGGTAAGGTCCCCACAAACCCATTTGAGGAACGGGGAGCAGTAGCAGAAGAGGAAGAATAAGACGAAGTGAGGAGGAGGAAGATAAGAAGCTGTCAGTGGAGAGTGTCTGTAATGTCTTTTGGAAATCTTTGCATATATGGTTTGAATTCTTTATTTCATGCAAAGCTGTTAATGAATCCCAGCCTATGGTCTTACAATGACATGAAATGCACAATGGCTACCTCTGTGTGCCAACACTGATCAGTTATAGCCCACTAATGATACCCTTCAGGTCTGGAGGAGCAGAATTTCTCACTTCCCTTTATCACCTATAGTTGTCCCTCTTTTGTGTAAGACAGGAAACTTCCTCTCTCAAATGGATGCTGGAGTTTGTAAGGGTTAAATGAACAAAAGGAATTCAGTAAATGAAGAGAATGTTTTAAATGTCAATGGTTTGAAGTAGTTTCAGCCTGTAATGTTAACTATTTTTTTTTTGTCAGTCAAAATTTGCTGAAGATGCAATTAGTTGTTTCAAGGTCGCAGTTAAAATTAACAAGTATTTGAAAGTGTTAATCTAAATGATTTTCTAATTTATTTTTGTTTAATGCTGATTATACATTAAATGTTAATGTTTTAAAATACATGTTAACAGCATGGTGTCATTTCGTTTCTGTATACGTGTGTGTGTGTGTGTGTGTGTGTGTGTGTGTATATGTATGTATATATATATGCATACACACATACATATAATAATATACTATATGTATATATTCCCATACATATTGTAATGTGAGAAAAGGCCTGTCGCCTATATCTATACATTATCCAGATTTATTTTCCACAATTCTTTTGTTTTCCAGTATCGTCAGTTTGTTTTGGAAGACTACTGGTTAAAAAAACAGGGTCCAATTTTATATTCTTAAATTCTGTCTTAATTAAAAACTGATTGATTGATCAATTGTTTATTTTGTGTACTTCAGCAGTCTGTTTTGCATGCACCTTTTCTTGACAAATCAAATTTAACAGAGCCTTCATTTATAATTAGTCATAGCATAGTTTGTAAAGAAAATAAAAGAAATGCTCCCCATTTTCCGCAATATCCTGTAGTATTTCTTATGTTCCCTTCTGTTCTGTTACTTGTATTTTGTGTTTTACCATTTAAGGTGTTTTACCATTGTAATATTGTAGTCCTAATCATTAATGTTTCTCTGTCATGACCTTTTCTATACTGCAGTTAATAGTGACCTGTGCATTATTAAGATATATTTAAGTGTTTTGACTTTGGACTGTTCAGAGCTGGTTTTTGACTTGTGGTCTGTAATAAAATGTATTTCGGTTGCAAATGCAAAGAATTTCATTTTTGTTGTTTGATTTTTGGTCAAATCAGAAAAAAAGGAATGCAAACTGAGCCATATACTGCTTTAAATAGTGAATTGTGTAACATTCAAATTAGTTTTTAGAAAATTAATTTCTAAGTGGTTGTCACACATAATACATCAACCATCAATCATCATACAAATATTTTTCTTTCACAGTCATACAGTGCAATGATCTTAAAGAATCTGAAAAAGAATGTACTTTTTTATTTATTAGAAATTTTTGTCCAAAGCATCATTAGTCTGGGATCAGAGAGCAGTTTAAATTTGTCTTTGGAAGTGATAAGCAGAAGATATATAGAAATGGGATATAAAAGGGGATTTTCTTCATTAGCTTAGTGATTTATGTGCCTATAATCAAATAAAAGCCCTGAAATCCTAGTTTTGTGGTTAAATGCTAAGCCGTGCTACATGCATATTTCTGTCCCTATCTGGATGTAGGTAATGTAGTGAGTAGCATAAATGTTTCACACTTCCATGGTTGGGCACTGAAATCATGCCCCCTGCTATGTGTGTAGAGTTTCAATGTTACACTGGTTTCCAACTGCAATTCATAGATATGCAGTAAGGACTTGCATATCCTGTTAAGGGTGTACTCATGTTCCTTAATATGACTACTCAGGAATGGATAATACTATTGAGGCTGGCAGTCAGTGCCTTGCCAGCTGACTGAAAATCCTTGTTACTTTTACACTTTGAATCTAACTGTTATGTTTATTAATCCCACATTTTATTGTGGATTAACATGACTGCAAAACCCATTCAGTGCTTCATAATGCTAGTGAATTTTCTGGCCTCAAACATTAGCAAGGCAGCTGAACTATGTACAGATTTAAAAAAAAAATATCCTGTCTGCCTAATCTTTGAAGTCCCACACCAGGCATCTTAAAAGAAGTCTTTACATATACACATGGAAGTATTCAAACCTGCATAAAAAAATCACTGAGCAACAACAAGATGTTGAATGCATTGCTTGTATTCATCCATTCCTCATTCATCAATCTTTCAGATATTTATTCTGCAGGCAGAGGATAGAACATACCTCAGGTGGCATAGGGCAGGGGTGCCCCCTGGTCATGATGTCAGTCCATCACATGGAATACAAAAAAAACATATACAATTGGTCAGTTTAGAGGTGCCAGTTTACATGCATGCATTTGGGCTCTGGTTGCCAACCAGACATGCTATGAAAAGAGCATGCAGACTCCACAATACAGAATATAGGTGGCCTTCGAACCCTCAGCCCTAGAGGCAGCAATATATGTATGTATTTATCCATTTATCTCCCTGCTCCATGTGCTAATGTTTTATATACAGCAGTTATTAGATCGGGGTTAGGGTTATTTTCTACATTTACCCAAAGTGATACACAATTGAAAATGTAGACCCTGCAGCATTTGGGAATTAAAGGCCTTGCTCACATACCCAACTGCAAAAATCACTCTGCTGATCCTAGGATTCAATCCTGCAACCTTCTAATCACATCCCCAGCCTCCTATCCCACTAAGCAGCACCCTGCCTCTAGTTGAGATTCTTATTAAAGTATTTGTAATTAAAATGGACCAACCTTTCCCTTAGATTTTAGTGGTTCTAAGATGCATGTCAGTTCATTTTTAATTATATCAATGGAGAAAAGCATCAGGCATCACTGTGTAGTAGAAACCGTACTCTATCGAGCAGGCTATGTTCTGGTTTCGTTTGGTTGACAGCGAAGGTATTAGCACCACACAGTGGTTAATCTCATGTACTACTACAATAAAGACTCATACCACTATTTCAATTACATTCAAAATATGATATTGATGATTTGGTTAGATGTTTTACGAAAATATATCAAGCATTTCTGTCAGTTCTTCACCTGCATCTTCACCTCATAGTTAAATACATTGCTTATGGCTATAAATACCTTTTTAGATTATATATTTTTGCTGCACAATATCCATATTATTTATAGCCTTATATCTTAAAATTACTTCTATACGGTAAAGCAACAAATCGCTATAACTTATGTTTTCAACTTCCAACGCCTCTTCCTATTCAGGGTGGCGGAGACATTCAGTGTTAAAATCAGCAATAGATTTCTATTACTGCACAATCGTTTCCTCAATACTAATGAAATGAAACGCATTATTACAACTATAATTTACCAGCCTTATTGCAATGGACAGATTCTGCATGCCATTATACTGGATGTTCAGCCTGGTGATATCTGGAAGGTGCCGATGGCCGCCGACCGCACAAAGGGACTGAAGGAGCGCGCGAGGCACGATGGAGTTTTATATGTCAGCGGGTTCCCGCCCAAATCCGCTCCGAAACCATGTGTTTGGAGACCTACTGTCGCCTAGCTGGTGGCTTGGAGGCATACATGCATCAACAGATCATACCGCAGGACCTGCCGAGGACCCACCAAAAATAACCGGTCTGGTCGAAATCCGGTATTCAGTCGAAAGAGAACCTGCTGGATTATAGGCAGAAAGTCTGCCTATTGAAAAACGGCAGTAGCGTAGTGGCTGCACTTCTTATAAGTCTCCACGGAGTATTTTTTAAATCTTGCACTGATGGCAGGAAAGTAAGGCGAAACTAAGAGATGAACGACTGATTTCTAAAAAAGCATTAATATAAGTACAATTATGAGATTCCCCATAAAGCAAATAATAACGGATCGTCAAGATAATTAAGGTGCCATCCTCTTTGCAGAATCAATCAGTCGTTCAGGACGTGCGGAAACTTACAAGAACGGTGTTTATCAACCTGTGCACTGCGAGCAACCACGAGATAACAAACACTATCTTCTTGTAATGAAAGAATAAACACCTGCATGGCTTGTTGTTGTTTTAAAGATCTATGGAACAAGTGAAGAAGAGCGGACAGCAGAACCTGACAGCCTGCAGTAAAACCTTGCTTACAGTTTTCCTTTCACTAAATGGACCTTCCAGTGTTTTATGCAAAAACCGCACTAACAACTTAGCAGCAGTTTCATGATCTGACGTTACTTGTATTTTAATTCTGCGATTTTCTAATCTGTCACCAACTTCTTCGCAGCGTTTATTGTCAAGAATTGTTCTGTTGAGGTTAAGCTGGGTTTCAGAACCAAGGACAGATCTAAACCCAGCAGCTGCCTTAGTAGCGCGAAACAATCAATTGGGTTGAATAGGATCCTTGTAAAACATGCTTTTCTTTTCTGCACGACATGAACTTGTGTACAGTAACAATAAAAGCAGATTGCATGAACCTTCTCCTAAGATCTGAAGACGATAAGGAGCGCGGTCTCTGTTCCAAGGTAAGGACGTTTATATGTTTTTGGATACTTATATTTGACAGCAGTGTTTATAAAACATGTTACTCCACTGCAGTTTTTTTCGTTAAAAATAATTTGGAACGTGAAATATTTCACCAAATAGACGACAACACTAGCAAAATTATTTTTTTCACAAGGCATAAGATATATAGCACACCCACGTTTATTAAATTAAAAATGTAAGTCGACAAAGGTGTGGATTGTTCGGAGATAACATTTGCAACTAGTTGTTATGTAAAAAATAAGCATAATACTTTTTGAATATTTCCTTTAAGCAAAATTATTTTACTGATCGATTGCATCGTGAAATTTAGACCCTGTAATGCGATCATCATTTCGTCATTGTTTATAGGAATACTGTTTACATAATGACATTTCCTGATATGAATGGATACATTCAGATTACGAATCTAAACAAACAGACATGCATGTGATGTTGTGTAAATGCAAAAACATCACATTTGTAATGAAAACTAAAACGCCGTTGTTTGTAATTGTTTGCTGAACAATTTGCAAGTTGTTTATCATTTAGTGACACTATAAACCTGTGTGGGTTTCATAGAAGTTTAACAGGAAAAGGCGGTTTAATTGTTACAGTCAGACAGGCGGAGGAGGTCTGTCATCCCCAGTCATTGCGATGGACAGACGAATATCTTTTTCATGCTATGATGAAAATCTGGAAGCTGATTACAAGTAAGGATAACACGATGGAATTAATTATCATTATTACACAATTTATGTCGCCCATTGGAAAATGAGACGGGTAGATTCAGATCAGTAGAATTTACAGTGTTATTTAAATGATTCTCCGGACAGAGGTAGTACAACACCACAATTTCCTATACAGCTGACTGCTGTGTACTTAGGCTAAATGAAAAGGTCAGTGTAATATCGTTAACTGAGGCCAACGAATCAAACTATGTGCTCATGGAGAGTATCGTCACCTGCTTTTACACTGTTGCCCTGATAGCCTGGAATTATTTTCAGTCCAGTGGCATCTGCAATAAGTGTAAGTGAATTTTTGAGTCTCTGGTGTGAGCAGACCAACCGCAACAACAAAAATACATTTTTATGGCTTCTGTCATTGCGCAAGTAACTTTTGTGTACATTTTCTATCAGTACCACAGTTATGCCTTGGCGTTCATGTTACACATTAAAAAAACATTGAATTATATATAAACTCCCATGTACAAAAGAAGGCCATGTATCTAACTGTGTGAAATATATTATTGCATTACACTTACTGTATTCATTTTTCTTTGTTATTTTCACTTATTTCAGTTTTTAATAAAATACTGCTGATTTTACTTGGCCATCTTTTTATTTGTTGTATAACATCCAGTTTTTGTATCATTCTCATTGACATAAAATTCAAAATATCTAGGGAGAATATATTCATAATTTGTCACAGTTTCTGAACAAGTGTACTTTTAATGTCTAATAGTTGTTCCCTATAAAATTACTGTGTCGTAAGATGCTGTGCTTACAAAATACATTAATTTCCTACATTCATAAGTGATCTGAATCCCACCTCCCCGGTGTGTGTGGAGCTTGCATGTTCTCCCCGTGTAGTGCTGGTTTCCTCCAGCTTCTCCTGTTTCCCCCCACAGTCCAAAGACATGCAGTCAAACTAATTGGTGTCTCTAATCTGCCATAAGTGCATAACTGTGTGAGAGTTTGTATGCATGTTATCTGTGAAAGAGTCTAGTCTAGTGCCTTGTGCTAGTTGTTATTGATGAATAATTGATGTATTGAGACAATGGATCTTAACTCAGACACATAAGATAAGACATGCATGAAAGGACTGAAGATTTTCTGAGTTTGAGCTGTGACATTTAAATTCAGTGGACAATCAGCAAAAAACAAATCTTGTGCATGTCACATACTACTGTGTGATGCCCTGGGAAATTGTTGAAAGGTATGAATGCAAAACGAAGTCACAATGAAATGTATCTTAATCAGCAAATGTTAGTCTACCCAAAGGAATGGCTGAGAAGAGATTACCGATTTGAAAATGTCTAGTAGAAATGTTTCAGTGGGACTAAAGTGAATGTGTTACATGTTGAACGATTGTAATAAACGATGAAATCCAAATCTCATTCTCACCACGGTAAACCCCTGCCTTATGCTCTATGTTGTTTGAGATAGGAATCCATCCCCCAGCCTCCCCGCACGCCTGACCAGGATAAATGGGTAGAAGATGGATGCTATATGGCTGGATATTAAATCAAAATGCATGTAGTGTGGAGAATCGAAAAGCACCTGCCCTGTACCAGTAAGGGGGCCCAATAAGCTGGAGTGAGGCAGCAAACTGAGCTGCATCTAGGTGACGAGCCCCACCTTTCCTGTGGAACTGCTGGTTTAGATGAGAGGAGGTTGACAAAAGTTGTCTGTGAGCACCCAGGTTCTGATATCAGAAGCGAGCAGAACTCAACACCTAACTCACGTTATGAACACCAAACAACGCAAACACACTGATTCCCCACCTGCGTAGTACCGTGGATGGGAGCTCATCTGACAGGACGAGAATATAACCTTATCTTTGAGTAGTCAGTTGGAATAAAGAAGAAAATGCTGAATGGAAGGTAAAATGTGAGACAATAGCAACTCCCTGTACATTGTATTTGTGCATGAGAGAAGATAGTGAACTGTCTTAAAAAACAATGGTTTAGCTGAATGAACTTGATTATATATAATATATGACTGAACTACGATTTCAGTGGTGATATTTGAAATAAACAGAAAACACACCTGTTTCTAATACGATATAATTTAATTAGAGTTATGACTGTTGTTTTACCAGAAAGTATAGAGCACAATTCAGATTACACTCCTAGATAAGATTCTATCCATTGGAGGACACACACATACATGCACACAATTTTATTCACAATCACTTGTCGTGCTTTTTTGAGTGAACATTAATGCATATTATATTCTTTAAAAGACAGTAGCTTGAGTGAGGGGGTGATGTGGTGGTGCAGTAGTTAGCACTCTTGCCTCACACCTCTGGGACCAGGGTGTGTGTGTGTGCGTGTGTTTGTGTGTAGTTTGCATGTTCATAGCAGTGTTGTCATTGTGGGGTTTCCTCCCACAATCCCAAATCATGCTGAGGTTAACTGGAGTTACCAAATTGCCCATAGGTGTGCATGTGTGAGTGAATCGTGTGTGAGTGTGTCCTGCGATGGGTTGGCCCCCCATCCTGGGTTGTTCTCTGCCTTGCCTCTAGGCTCCGGACCCCCCATGACTCTGAATGGGGTAAGTGGTTACAAAAAATGAATGGATAGTTTGAGTGATTAGTGATTTCTAATAAAATGAAGAATTCTGATTAAGAATGAAAAATTTCACTTCTTCGTGGGATAAAATATGTACAGTAATTATGCATGTTTGCATTTATTTATTTGTGTTTTTGTTTGGTGTTTGTTGTTGATGTGTTTGAAGGTAAACAGTTATGTGTGTATGTGTAAGAGAAGGTTAGTTTGCCAGTTTACCTTTCAGTGTAGGGGGGGAAGGGCTTGGTGTTATGAGTATCTGTGAGTGAGTGCAGAGCTCAGTTAGCGTGCAAGGAAGTCAAGGAAGCGCAGCGGGGAGCTTCACTCCTGTCACAGCTGACTGCCCCATGAATAATGCAAACAAAACAGAAGCGCAACAAAACCGAGACATGCAGCTCACTGCCCCCCCCCCCCCCCCCCCCCCCCACCTTGGCCTGACAAGACATCTATCACACTGCTGCCTGTCTGGCTTCTGATTCTAATGAACTCATTAAGGTGTTTTCCTTTATGTGTGTGTGTGGGGGGGTTCATTGTTCCAACGATAAGGGAAATGTGTCATTACTATTCAGAATATACAGGTGATAGGAAAACATCTTTGTTTGGTTGTGTCATATCAGTTAGCAGATTTGGAAAAGGAGTGTTATGTGTGTAACAGCAGATGATGTATGG